GTTCCCTTCCTGGGTCAGCCACAGGGGGACCTGCACCAGTCACTCCCCCCTTGCGCCTTCCTTTTTTCCTCATCCGTGAAATGGAGATGCTGAAGGAAGGTGCTGTCCCAGCCTTTTGAGGTCAGGATGGTGACGGAGTGGGATAGAAGGAGCCAGCTACCCATATAGTTCCAGATTCCCTAGACAGTGCATTTGGAAGTGGAATTCCTCATTTCTGGGGTCCCCAGTTTCTGGGGATTCTTTTCAAACCGTGGTGCTGGCGTGGTGAGGGTGGCAAGGCGTTTGGGTGCACAGGCTTGGACGAGAGTCGCGTGCTCTCCCTCTGCAGTGTCTTTCTTTGTCTGTGGCACAGATCCCTCCCCCAGGGTGGAGCTGGCCAGGCCCCGTTGGACTCTACTCCTGGTTGCAGCTTATTTCCTTCACTTGTGGCTTTTCTCCTAACAATGGGACCTTATAACCAGGACTTTCAGGAATGCAGCATCCACAGGGCACCTTGGACCATGACCTTCACCATGACCTGCCAGAGGTCCCTGCACTCGTAGAGTTGAAAGAATACATTCCACAGTCCTGCCTCTTCTCTTACAGTCCAGTTTCTTCCTGCCCCATAAGGTCTGGTTCACCTGTATGCTCTCTCCCCCCATGTATGCTCCACTCACTGTCTTTCTGTCTTGCCTTTCTTCGGCTTCGGTTCCGGTGTGGCTCGGAGGGACAGTGATGGGTGTTCTGGGCTGGAGAGCTATTCTTCATCGTGCAGCCCTGTCCCCACACGGGCTCCTGGGCACTAACCACCGCTAGGGGTCCCCAGTTGCTGAGACAACAAAGCTCCCCACAGTATATTTCCAAACATCGTCTTCCACTGTCTGAGCAGTGTTTCCACTCAGCAATTGCTTCATATATATATATATATATATATATATCAGGAGGGACAGAGGGAGAGAGAGAATCTTTTTTTTTTTTTAAAGATTTTATTTATTTATTCATGAGAGACAGAGGGAGAGAGAGAGAGGGAGAAGCAGGCTCCCTGCTGAGCAGGGAGCCCGATGCGGGGCTCGATCCCAGGACCCTGGGATCACGACCTGAGCCGAAGGCAGACGCTTAACCATCTGAGCCACCCAGGCGCCCGAGAGAGAGAATCTTAAGCAGGCTCCACGCCTGAGGTGGGGCTCGATCTCACAACCCTGAGATCATGACCTGAGCCAAGATCAAGAATCAGACGCTTAACCGACCGAGCCACCCAGGCGCCCCGATCACTTATATTTTTAGCCCTCACTCATCTGAGGGTTTACAGGGCCCAGGCCTCAGCATAGAATCCTATTTGAAGAAGCACAAACCAGGAACCAAAAATAATTTAAGAGAAACGCAACTCCTCTTAAAGAATTACCCATATTCGTGCTGCTCAGGAGCCCCTGTCCCCAGATCTCCTCTGTGCTGTGACAGGTCTCTCATGCAAAGAGGCCATGTTTCCTTCTACTGCAAACATCAGTGTAGTCTCCCTGCCGATAGGTAGGGATCCCTCCTCCAGCAAAAGACAGCAGGAAAAGAGCTCCAGAGTTGCCTGAAGTCTGCAGGGGAGGTAAAGGAAGCCCCTAATCACCTATGTTAAATTCTTTTTGTCTCACCCAAATGGGTACCAAAATCTTCCATTAAAAAAGCATTTTTCCATCCATTATCTCTGATGCATTTCTGAGGCGGGCAGAGGAATGCTCACGTTCCCATTTTGCAGATAAGCATCCCTTCAGTGATTTGCCCAAAATAAGGCTAGGCAGTGAATGACACAGAGGAAATCCTGGCCAGGGTTCCAAGGACTCCAGGCCTAAGTACCGAGAAAGCAAGAAAGCGGAGGGCTGGAATAATGCCAGGCTTGTTTGGATCTAACTCACTAGATTGCCTTTAGGGAGGCAGGGATCAGAGGGGAGAAAAAAGGGTGGGGTGAGAAGAGCCATCACTGTTGCTTCCCAGACCCCTGGGGTCATGTCCCCCCTCCCGCCACCTGAGCCCTGGCTTCCTTGCAGGAGGTTGATAGGAATCCCTCCCCCACCCCCAAGCTTTACTGAGATAGAATTGTTATTTAACATTATGTACATTTAAGGTGTATGATGTGTTGATTTCATAAGAAATCTCATTTTCCTTTAACTTAGCATCTAGCTGCTTTTTTTTTTTTTTAAACATAACTTTCTTCGGAAGAACCTTCTATGCCAGCGCCCTGTGGGAATGTCTCTGTTCTGCAGCCCCACATCACCACCTGGTGGGCCCTGGGCGGCCTTGTGTTTTCCTTGGGTTGCGACATTCCCAGTTCCCGGGATTACAAGGTATCTCTCCAGCCCCCTTCCTCACCGCCCCCTCGATCACGGGCCATCTGTCCCTGCCCTGCCCACTCTCGGCCCTTTCAATAGCACCATCCTTGGGGAGGATGGTTTCATAACAGGCCTGGTTGAGGGGAGGGACACCCCAGTGCTGCCAGGGTGTTTAATCGAGTTGGTTATTCGGGGAAACTGGCAGCTAAAAAAAGTCCTAATGGGGAAGAGTTTTCCAAGGTGGGGGCCCTTCGTTCAGCTCCCCACGCGGGGGGATGGATGAGTGTGCACGCATCAGAAAGGATGGAAGAGAAAGGGGGGAGGGGAGAGGATGCCTTTCTAAAAATACAGCCCATCTGCACTGTTAGCTGGTTTCCCCGGAAACCACTGGGAAGAGCGCGCTCCAGCACCGGGTGGAGGTGTGGGGACCTGGGGGCCTGAGTGGGCAGGGACCTCCCTGCCTGGCCTCCTCGGGCCGGAGATGAGGCTCTCCCAAGGGGGCTCTGCAGCTCGCCGTTAGCCGTCCACGAGGCCTGGGTGACCGGCAGCTCCCAGCCCAACCTCAGCCCATCTAAACCCCAAACTAGACTCAGGTGGGGACCCCCATGTAATCTGGAGGCACCATCTTCCTAATATTCTAAAGGACTGATGCTTCCTGCTTCTAACAGGAGGGAAGGAAGCCCAGGGAACGTCTGGAGCTGCACCCTGGTGTCCTGACAGTCGGTCACAGAAATAGGCTCCATCTGAGACCCTGTGCTCTTGGGTCCCAGGCGCTCACTGCACCAACTCTGCTGTCACTGGGCCTTCCACAGGGAGAAGGGACGGGCAGGGGCTGGATGGGCTGGGGTGCACCTTCTGACCAACCAGCTGGTGGGATTGTCAGCCTTTCGGGCAGAAGGGAAAGTCCGAGGGCTTCCGCCTTGAGAAGACGAAAATAGAATTGAGGGAGGATGAGCAAATGGGAGGAAGGCTAGGAATCCAACCTTCCAGGGCAGGCGGCTTTGGTGCTAAGGAATGAGCACTGGACCAAAGTAGGAATCTAAAGACCCCGTTTCCAGGCCTGGCCCCATCTGGGCATGCCCCAGAACCTCTTGGTTTCCTCATCTCGCTTCCCTCGAGGGTGAAGTTAAATAGCGCAAGGAAGTGCTTCATGATCCGTGAAATGCTTGCAAAAAGGAACCGATCGTGATCTTCACAGCATCTCTAAAAAATGCTGGTTTTTCTAGATTTCAGATTGTGGACCCTTGTTTTCAGTCCTCCACCCAGGAAGGATGCCTATAAACTTTATGATGTTCATCCTTCCAGGCTTGTCTGTGGGGGCTATTCCTGTTTTGTAATCTCGATGATCCTGTATGTTTTATAACTTCTTCTTCCATGTATTAGGACACTGGCATTTCCCCCATGTTATTACATAATCATTCACAAGTGATTGACCCACAGTTTGGTGCCTTCTTCATGGACATTTAGCTTTTTCTAGTTTATTATTATTATTAGAGAAGGCACTGTGGTGAGTATTCTTACAGATAAATCATGAGGTGCCCTCTCTGGTTTCCTCTTCGAGAGGAAGAAATCCTCTTCCAGAGAGAGGATTGCTGAGTCCAAGACGATGAACCTTTTAAATCACTTTAATTCATTCTGCAAAACTGCCCTCCGGAAAGATGTAGCAGTTTATATACACCCACAAGCAGGACGAGAGAAGTGCGGCCTTCCGTGCATCATTACCAGCACTACCAACTCTGCAAGTCCATGGGCAAAAAATATGTATATATATCTTGTTTTAATTTAAATTTTTTTGACTTCTTGTGAGCTTTAATATTTTCTCGTGTATTTATTGGTCAATTTTAATCCTTTTGCGGATTTCCAGTTCACCTCCTTGGCTGGTTTTTCTCTTGGTGCCTTCTAATCTATGCCGTCATAAAGTCCAAGCGAGGATGGCAGCGCCGGGCTCCACAGATCGTCTCTGCCTCCCCGCCCCCACCACGGGCTCCTCCAAGTAGGCACACCCAGGCGTGCGTGCATACACACATGTGCACATATAAGCCCTTCCTGAGGTTCAGACTGAAGGCTCAGAGTCTCCCAGGGACACCCAGCCGTTAGGGCCTGGGCCCTGGCATCTGGTGGCTGTGGGTTGAGCCGTCATTCGTCCCTGCTGTTGGCTGGTTTAGACCAGCACCCTCTCTTTCAACATCACTGCACGCTCTGCTTGCCCCGCTCCCAGGGCCATCCCCAGCCAGGCTTTTCCTCCCAGGCCCCAGGACAGCCCTTGGTTCTGTTCCTCCCTGTGCCCTCCAGGACCCCACTGCCCACTTCCAACCACCGGGGGCTTCTGTCTACTTCTGCACCTGCATTTGGCTTCCCCACACTCATCCTTTTGCATCTCAATGAATGCAGAGATTTCCTTGAAATTGTATTAAGAATCATCCTGTGGTGCTTTTTCTCTTCTTTTTACCTTCTTTCTAAACATGTTTTAACTTTTGAGAGCAAATAATATAATGACCTCCTCTGAGCTAAACAGGTGGATCTTGCAGATGAAGCCTCGCTGCCCCTGCGAAGCCCGGCGCTGGGGCTGCACTTAGGGACGCGGTTGGGGGGATGGAGTGGTGGGAGTGGTCCCGTGTGCCCCTGCCCGGCCTGGGCTTGTGCCGTCGTCCTCCCCCGGGGAGATTCAGCGGCAGGGTCCAACTCTCGTCCTCCTTCCCTCCCTAGGCCTCCTGCTCCACGACGTGACCATGGCCGGGCTGCAGGAGCTGCGATTCCCGGAGGAGAAGCCCCTGCTCCGGGGCCAGGAGGCCGCCGAGCTGGTGAGTCACCCCTTCGCGGTCCCGGGGCGGAGGGCGCCACCTCGTGGCCAAGAAGGAAACCGCGTGCCTTCCCTCCAGCCTCGCCGACCCTCCGTGGGGAGCAGCGCCCGGAGGCCTCCCGCCACCCTGAGACCCAGCCCACCGCGCTGTGGCTTTGGCTGTCTTCGAGGCTGGGAGGCTCTTTAGGAGAATTATTCCCATTTCAGTGAGGAGAAAACTGAGGCACAGAAAGTTAACTAGCTTGGCCAAGGTCGCAGAGCTACTCATGGTTCTGGGAGGCCCTGGAGCCCCAAGACGGTACCCGCTGGGCAGTGGCAGGGCCGTTCCTCATCCCCGCCTTCTCTGTCTTTCCTCACAAGCCTCTGAGGGCCGAGGGCAGGTATGACCCACAGTGCCATCAGGAGCAGTGGGACTGTTTTGTCCTGGAGGGTTCCCTCCCGGGCACCAAGTGTTAGATTCCAGAGTTGTTTCTACCCCACACTTTCTTGTGGTGGTGATGCCTGGCGCAGCCTCCCTTTCCCTCCCTGCAAGGAAAAGCGGTGGGTCCACTGCTCGGCGAATCCTTGAGTGTGGGGACCTCGGGTCTCTGCTGGTTGTGCCGCCCAACCCTCATTTTACAGGTGGGGAAGTCAGGGGCCCAGTCCCCGAAACTTCGGCACACTGGTGTCTGCCCTGCCCTCTCACAGCCTCCGGCCAGGAGCTGAGTGCCTTGTGTTGGGACAGAGTGGCCGGCTGGGGCTCCAGGGGCCCAGCCACATCAGGCTGGAGGTCCTGCCCCTTATCTTCAAGACAGAACCTTGGGTTAACGGACAAGACCTGAGCATGTGGGGGCAGCCCCCAGGAGTGGTCGGGGGTAGCTGGTGAAAACTGTTCCAAGGCCCCCCGTCTCCTGTCATGGAGCCTCCCCAGTGCCCTCCTTACTCCACAGCCTTTTAAAATATGTCATGTCCCTTTCTGCTTAAAGCTGGTCCGTGGCTGCCACCTGGGTCGAGCTACAACCACAGTCCTTCTCAGGCCCAGGAGGAGGGCCGCACTCCACCCCCAGCCTCCTCTCCTGCCCAGGGGCCCACTGCTCTTCCTTGAACCAGCCAATCATGTTCCCAGCTGCCGCTTCCCCCGGGATGCCTAGCTCCAAACTCTTCCTCACTTTACCCAGGCTCTGGTCCTCTGCCCCCTCCTCAGAGAGGCCTACTCCGACACCAAGTCAGACACTGACACCCTAACAGAGACGCTGTCTGTGTCATTCCCGGTCTCCCCAGGGCCTAGCCGAGCCTTGCACCCCGAACGCTCTCAGTGAAGAGAGCGGGTTGGGTGGGGTCACCCCAGATTGTGATGCGTCTCGGAAGAAGGAAGTTTCCCAGAACTTTCTGAAAAAGTCCCTCCTCCCCACAACCACCCCCCATTTCGAGGCAAGCAGAGACTGGCCTCCTTGCGAGTCTTGGTAGGGGGGTAGACAGTGCCCTTGGGGGCCCCTGCAGTCCCTGCCAGCCTGGCCCAGTCCCTACTGCCCCTCCCAACCGGACTTGGTGAGCGTGGCTCCTCTGGCCAGCAGCCTGGCTCTGCCTTCTGTCTGCGGCATTCGGTGTGCCCGCTTCATCCCACCGGGCCCCAGGCCGGGGTTTGCCACCGCGATGTGCCCGCCCTGCCAGGGGTCTGCAGTTCAGCCCTGAGCCCCCCCCCCCCGCTGTTTCTCTCCTCTCTCAGCTCAGCACACCCCATGCCCGAGACCTGGTCACATCTGCCTTAACAGCCCCATCCCCAGCCACCCAAAAACCTGTGTGCCCCCAGCACGGCCGCTGCCGATTCCCGTGACCTCACTCCTCGCCTTCCAGAGCCACTCTCGAGCTCGCTCTTTCTCTCGCTCTCTTTCCCGGCCGTTCCCCGAGGCTCCTTTTCTAGCTGCAGTGCAGGAAGGTGTCTGGCCCCTCACTTCGTAAAGCTTCTGCGGTCTGCTGGGTGCAAGTTCTTGGAGTCCGGGGAGGAGTGCCTAGTTCCACTGCGTACCCGCCATCGCTCTAGCCATCTGGGGCTTGCTTCCCTGTGAAGACTCGGACACCGGGCGTGTCCAGGGTTCCGTGGGGGATTGTTGCTCCTTCTGCCCGTGCCGACATCCCCATCCTCCATGTCCCACAGGCTGCTCCTGGGCCTGCCCCCAGCGGGGCCCTCTCTCCCACCCATCTGCCTCTGCGTCCGACTGTACCTGCCCTTCTTCCAGGGCCTCCCGGGGCTCTGGATCAGCTTGTATCATTCCTGCTGTTTCTTGGTTTGGGATCCTGCCCCTCTAAGGCTTTCCCATCTCCCGGGGACCCCTGGCCCGTGGAGAGCGCATGGCACACCCCACCATTATCTGCCTCATCCCTTGTGTTGTTTTTGTTTTTCACAAAACGGCTTCCTCACCTGCACCCTTAGCATCTCGAGTATAAAAATCTCTTCTATCTCTTTGCCCTCTCGCTCGGGCATGATCTTTCTGTAAGAGGATTCATCAGGAACCAGCCTCGTGCCCTTCCCGGAGACCCCCATCCACTCCCTGAGAGGTTCAGGAGCGACCTAGCGGCCTCCACACTCTACCCCCCCCACCCCGCCAAGGAGGACCCCCCCAGGCCCTGGAGGAGCCAGAAGGGGAGGCCGGAGGACAGCCGTTGTGTCTGGGAGAGCCCCAGCCGCCGGAGACCTGGCTTTCCTCTTCGGGTGGGAGAGCCCCCAGAGCTGTCTCATTCTCCCCACCGCCCCCACCGCTCTAACTGCCAGAAAGCAGGTAGTTGAACTTTTCCTTATTTTGAGAGTAAAACATCCGAATTGCTGGTTTTCACTCTTTTTCTCTCAACTCCCATGGGGTCGTCTTCCGTCTTGTACATTAGCAGCACCCCCCTTGTTTGGCTGTCCTCTGATGACATCCTGGTGCCAATCTGACTGTCTCGTTTATCTATGTATTTATTCCGTAGAGCCTCAGGGAGCTTGTGCAGCATCCAAAGTCAAGTGCAGGAGTATAAAAGACAGAGCGACAGCTAACACCGCACTTCTCTTTAATCCTCAAGGACATCGAGGCTCCGGAGCTAGCCGGCCTGCCCGGCTTGTCACAACCGAGCGGAGGGGAGGAAAGGTTTCTAGACAGACACACTAGAAAGCAAGGCAGAGGCCCGGGATCTCTGCTTCCCTCTTGCCCGCATGAGGTTTCCTTCCCTAGACCAGACCCGCAGAGGACACACATATGGGGTTCTAGCCCCCCTCTTCCACTCCACGTCACTGCTGCCTTGCAAACAGTGGGTGCTTCTGAGCTGAGTTCCCCTCATTTGCAAAGTCAGACTCATTCATCCAGATCTGTCTGGGTTTGGGGAGCCCATTCCAGCCCAGGCTTTATGGTGAGAGCGGAGCCAGCCGTGGTCCCGCCCTCCTTGGCACTTGCAGCCCAGCGGGAAGGATGGGCACCAGCGACTCCCATGGTTCGGTGTCAGTGAGCCTGAAAGCAGGGGACCTCTGTGCTTGGAGAGCACAAAGCCGGCAGGTCTGGAAAGGCGGGAGCAGCAACAGATCCAGACAAAGCCTCTGTGCAGCTTGGAAAAGCCCCCAGTTCCTCCCTCGCTGCATGGGCCTCTGCTTCCCCCCCCACCCCCATCCCTAATGTGGGTGTGGCTGTCCTGCCTGCCTCTGCCCTCCTTCCCCGCCTCCACCGCAGGGGTGCCCCAGCGGCCTGACCTTGAACCCCACGTGTGTGTGTGTGTGTGTGTGTGTGCGCGCGTGCGTGCGCGTGCGTGTGCGCGCGTGCGTGCGTGTGGCGGCGGCAGGGCAAAGTGACCCACGGCAAGGATTTGGCTTCAGAGATCCCACCACTTTCTAGCCATGGGACCCGGCCTCTCTAAGCCTCACCCTTCCCACCTGTAAGGTGGACATCTTCCCATTTCAAATTAATAGGTGAGATTGATATGAGTAACTACTTGTAGGCTTATCCATCAGGCACCTAATTAACCCACTGCCTGGGAAGCTCTGGGTCGCCTTTGTTGATATTAAGATGAATCGGGGAGCCCAGTGAGTGAGTCTGCTCCAGGCTGAGCCCCCCGGAGCCCCCCGGGGCCCCCTGGGCCAGCCAGGGCCTAACATGCTGCCCCTCTGTTTGCCTTCCCGCAGGAGAACTCTGACGCCTTCCTCTTGGCCATGGACACAGACTGGAAGGTAGGTCTCAGCTCAACCCCCCAAGGTGGGGGACTGCCAGCTCCCTGCCCCCGACCTTGTCCCGGCCCCTGACCTTGCCCAGCCTGGCCCCAGAGGAGGGTCACGACCCTTCTGTGCAGGCACCTCGCAGCCTCCAGGAGCCCCCCCACGCCCGCCCCATTCAGCGCAGCTTTCCCTGCCCCCTGCTCAGTGGAGACACGCCGCTGCTTCCCTGAATGGGACTGAAGCAGGGGTGAGGCCTGGGGGAAGTGAAGTTGGAGCTGGGAAGCTGTCATCTGAATCAGCACTTTCCTCCAATGAGGAAAAGCTCCAGTGAGGTTGGCGCTCTGAAATAGCTCCCATTTCCATGGAAACTGTCGCCGGGACAACCGTGTCCTCTTTAGTTTGATGCCAGGTTCCCTGTGAAAATCGGACTTGTTCTTTGTGTTTATTCCTCTGCACTGGTGAGTTCGCTCACTTGACCAGCCATTTCTTCCCCCTGAGCCCCATCGTGGCCCTTTACATCCCAGCCTCAGAAAATATCTGAGGGCAGACACAGTGGGGAACCTCCGCGGGTCCCAGAGCCTTGCTGGCCCTCAGAAGCTGCTGAACAAAAGCAGACCCTTCTAGGGCCTTCCCCCTGGCTAGCTGGAATGGCCCCCGCCTGGGCCTGCCTTCCATTTGATTTGGTTCCGTCCTGGAGCCCCATGACCGCCCTGGCCTCCTGGTCTGGATGCCAGGGTGATGTGAGAGGTGGGGTGGCCTGCAGGCTGCAGCAGGGACCCGGATCCCAGGCCTGTGCATCAGGCCCTGGGTCGTGTGTCCCTTCAAGGCGACCAGAGGAGGCTTTGGAGCAGCTCGTGTGCATGTATTCTCGTCCCCTGGGAGCACCAGTTCCAAACACAGAGGGCTCTGGAGCTGAGGACACGATGGGGTCTGGGGAACAAACGGGAACCCAGGGGGAGGGAGAGGAGGTTCGTGCCCGGGAGATGGCCCAGGCCCAGCTAGGGGTCAGTGCGGGCCCTTCACGGGGGTCTTCTTGTCCTCACAGCTCAGAGGAGGACAGGAACATATGGACAAACGGCCACTTTGCCCCAGGAGGGCGCTAGAGAAGTGAAATCCCAGAGCAGCCAGCCCCTGCCTGACACCAGTTGGGACCTGCCAGACTCACGGTGCCAGGCCCCCGGAACACACCTGGGGGGCATGAAAGGGGCGAGGGGGATCCTTGGGTCCTTTGCCCCTGTGCCGGTGGGCTGAGCCTAGCCCGGGGCGGGGGCGGGACCCTTTGCTTGCTGAAGGGCAGCAGGTGTTAAAAAGCACCTGCCCCTCTCCTCCTCGTGCGCTGTGGCACAGAGGCGGCTGCCCTTTTTTCTTTTCTTTTTTTTTTCCTAGAAGAGCAGCTGAGAGGATGCATGACCCTCATCTGGGCCAAGGCCTGGCAGGGATTTCCTTCCCTTTCATTCCTTGCCTCAGTGGACCCAGCCAGTCAGGGAGGCAAGACAAACAAGAGCCCGACAGACCTGGGTCCGGGGCCTGTCCCTCCCACTTGTGGGCCACGTGACCCCCAGCACATGTCACTACCTTATTTGGGACAGAGAGCTCGCACCTCCCGGGTGTTTGTAGGGTTGGGGAGCGATGCCCGAGGCCCAGCCTTCAGATCCTGAGCTCCCTGTGACTGTGGGCATCCGAGCGTGGAGTCAGGAGCAGGTGGCCTGCATGCGGTTCCCGGTCCTGTGTGATGTTGGGCAGGTGACAGAACCTCTCTGTGCTTCATTTTCCTCGTCTGTAAAGTGGATGTTAGGATAAAATAAGGTAACGCATGGAAGGCATTTGAAAGAGGCTGGCAAGCTGCAGATAGGCTAATAAGTATTTGTTTCTCTTAATAATGTGCCCTCAGGCCCAGAGTGCTAAGGTGCTGGTAAGCTCCGTGTTTACTAGCCGAGAGTGACAGTTACTTCTCTGTGTTTTAGTTTTCTCATCCTTTTCCATAGGTGTGTGAGGACTGTGTGTTACCCTTGCAGCCGCCTGTGCCGACGGCACAGCTGTTCTCCCATTTACAGATGTGGAGGCCCAGAGAGGTTGACTGACTTGCCCAGGGTCACACAGCAGAGAAGTGGCGGAGATGGGACTAGGCCCACTGTTTGGCCGGCAGGACCTGAGCCTGCCTCGTCTGGCCACAATCCAGGGAAGGGACCAACAGTGTGGAGAGACGCACGGGTTGCCCCGTTTCTCCTCTGTCAGGGCCTGGGCAGGCATGAGGTCAGGTCTGGAGCTCCGTCACGGAGCTCTTTCTTGTCTTCATAGCAACTCTCAGGAAGGCCCGATTCCTGTGTTACGGTTGAGGAAGCTGAGGCACAGAGAAATCACAAAGCCTTACCCAGGGTTACCCGGCTAGCGGGTAGGGGGAGCAGGGACTTGAACTCAGGTCTGTGGATTTGAAGCCAGTGAGCTGAGCAGGAATGGGGGCTGTGGCTGGGAGTGGGCAGTATCCAGGGTTAGCTGCTCCCTTGGGTCCAAGGGTGGCAGAGCCCCTCAGAGGTCAGAGGTTGGACTGGGCATAAGTTTGATGGTGGCCATGGAAGAGCAGGGGGTTTGCGGCGGGAAGAGTGGGCGGACAGCCCTCGCCCCCTTTGGGGAGCAGGTAGGAGGAGTAAGTGCATAGAGGGCAGGAGCCGAGCTGTGCCAGAGTGGCTGTGGGCAACAGGGAGCATGGCCAGTCCGTGGGGGGCAGGGTGACGCCCCGTCCCGCGTCGTCCCTGGGCTGCCCCAGGGGAGCACAGAGTGCTGGGCCCCTAGAGCCAGAGGTCACCGATGGGGCAGGGCAAGTTGTCGGTGCGCCCCAGGTGGAGGACGTGGCTGGGAATAGCACACACGGCAGGTGTTGACCAGGTCCCTGGGCACCCGGAGATGGGGCACTGACCCCCTCCCCCCGGGGCTGCCAGCCAGCGTGCAGGGCCGGCGGGGCAGGCGGGCCCGAGGGGCGTGTGCCTTCCTGGGAGAGACAGAATGGGGACACAGGTCCCCAGCACCCTCCTCTCAGCTGCTCCTACTTCTCTCAGACCTTGGACTCCCTCCTGGGCTCCCCTCCCTGACCTATTTCCTCTCCTCTCCTCTGCCTCCTCCTTCCCAGTTTACTCTGCCTGCGGGTCTCTAGCCGTCTCCCCGCAGAAGTCCTTGCTGTTCAGGAGGACAGGGCATGGGGCCTGCGGTGGCCCGTGCATCCTGCCCCCCGCACTGGCTGGCCCCAGGACAGAGAGCTGGGGGGGGGGGGGTGGGGGTTCTGCAGGAGGTGGGCACGTCCGCCCTGGCAGGCTGACTCCCGTTCCTCCTCTGCCTTGGTGGCCTCCGGCGCTTGCTGTAGGTTGGGGGTGGGGAGGGCACAGCTGGTGTGTGTGCCGGACGGTACCGCTGGCCCTGCCTTCAGCCCAGGCCCCCTGCCAGCAGAGCCCCCATTTTAGCGGCGTGGGCAGGCTCCGGGCATGCCTGTGGGTGGAGTGGGGGCTGCCCGAGGGGAGGCCCTGGAGAGTGGAGAAGGAGCAGTCCTTGGAACAGGGTCAGGACAGAAGGTTGCCCCAGACAGTCACTCCCCCATCCCTTCAAGGTTAAGTGATCCAGACCTTCCTGAGGTGGAGGCTGGGCTTCGGGCCCTCTTAGGCCCTCCCTGCTTCCCAGGGAACAGGGTCAAGGGCTGAGCCCATCTGGGACATGCCGGTGTGGCCTGCCCTGCCCTGTGTCGGTGTGCGGCTCCTGTGTACCTGACACGGGGCACACCTGTATGGGGAGCTTCTTGTCTCGTCTTCCCAGGCCCTGCGTGCAGCTGCGGGGGTGTGCCTGTGTGCTGGGGGCGGACGGGATGCAGGGCCTGGGGACAAGCAACGATGCTGTGTTGCTGGGGGTGGGGCATGGGGGGCGGGGGGAGCAGGAGCTGGGGTGAGCGAGGACTTCAGAAGCCAATGAGAGCCAGGTTCCTCTCCCGCCCGCCAATCTGGAAGCGGAGGCTCGGGGAGAGCGAGTGGCTGCGCAGAAACCCCGCAGGGAGGCGGGGCCGGCCTAGGCCACCCGACTCCGCATATAAGTGGCCCGGGAGCGGCGCCCCATCACAGCACTGCCGTCTCCCCCTCGCGCTGCCCCCTCCCTCTGGACCCTGGTGACTCAGGCCTTTGTTTGCCCTGCCTGGTAGAGGCGGATCGCCTTCTTGCTGGGCAAGATGCCGGAGTGCTGGGATGGGGTGAGTGAGGGCTCTGGGGGCGGCCAGGTGGGCAGGGAGGAAGGGACAGCCCTCTGCCTCTGTTTGGTGGCGGAGCTGCTTTCGGTCGCCTCACCTTGCGCGCCGCGGAGGCAAGGCCAGCAGGTTCTAGTGTCCCTGGTGCCCCTGGCCTGCAGCCGTGGCTAGGGCTTAGCCGCTAGTCAGGGCCTGCGGGGAAGGGCTGAAATCTGCAGAAAGTGGAATGCGCTGCGTGACCTGTCTGCAAGCCTGGGTGGCCCCGCGCGCCAGTGCGCGCCCCTCCCACTGACAGTGTGCCCTTGGCCTGGCAGGTGCCCGGCTGGCGTTGGCTGCGTGCCTGTGACCACCTCAGCCCTGGGGAAGGCTCTGTTCCCTGCATGTGTCGGGCTGTCTACCTTCCTGACCCCACGAGGGTTGTCCTGGTCGTTTGGGTGGCTGCACCAGAGTGAGAACGGAAGGACAGCCTCTTCCTTCCTTAGGAGATGCTTGCAGCCCTGCCGTGGTCCCCAGGGAACTGCAGTGCCAGTCCGGCTAAAGCGGGGAGGTCTGGGTGGGGTGCTACCCCGGCCTTCAGGCCGAGGTCCCTGCAGGGGAGGGGATGAGGAGGGCGTCTCAGCGTCTTACTTAGTGGGTGGGGAAAGGCAACGCTGTAGCCATGACTCTGCGGGGGGTCGGGCCTGGGCAGCAGTGCCCAGGGGTGCTCTTCTTCCCCAAAGAGGGAGCAGCAGGGGCACTCCTCCACCCCCACGCCCGGCCTGCCCTACCGGGGCACAGATCCCCCGGACCACCCCGTATCCCGGCAGCAACGTCAGGGCCTACTCCGGGTGCAGTCCGGGTCAGCCGAATTGGTTGTGGTTGATGGAATGAATGGTACTAGCCGGCCCCCTCCAGCCCCTCACCCCCTCCTGCGCACTGAAGCCCAGCTGGGAGCCCTCCCCCCGCCCCAACTCTCAAGGTCATGGGCGAGGGAAGACCGACCAGCCTAGAGAGGACGTCAGAGCCCCCTCCCTTGCTGCGGCAGTGCTGGCGCCCACCTGGAGGCGGGGGCTCTGACGTCACCGGGAGCCAATGGGAGCGCTCGGTCCTGGGGGCTGGGGGCTCAGAGCGCTTCGGCCTGCCGCCTTTGGGTCGCCTCTCTTGTGCTGCACCCTGAGGGCCGGGGACACTCGGCTTCTATCTGGCTGAGCTGGGTCAGAGCTCCTGGGTGGATGGGGGAGGTGGTTCAGCCAAGTCATTGGGCCTGGCGGGACCAGCAACCGGGTCATTGCCCTCAACAGCCCATCCCGCCGCGGGCAGCTGAGCCTTTGGGGGAGCCGGAGGACGGAGAGCACTGTGCCTGAGGCCCCCGGCCCAGGGGCTGCCGATGGTGACACTGCGGTCACAGCAGGGCTAGGAGGGGGTAGACACCCCTCATGCACAGCCATGGGTGGTGGAGGTGTGCGGGTGGAAGACTGCCGCCCTGGGCCCTGACGCGCACCCCGCGGGCCTAGCACTGACCCCCGTGGAGAACCACCCTTCATGCCGCAGGAAGCGCATTGCAGCTCTTGTGCAATGGGCGCCCCTCCTGCCCCCCAACCCCTGTCCTCCAGAGCTGAGAGTAGTGTGGGGGCTGGTGGAGGATGCCGCATGGCCCCCCTAGCTGTGGAGAGCTGCCTGCTTGGAAATCTGTGGGGTGGAGCCTTCAGGGCATATCCCTGGCCTCTGAGGCTGGCACCTGTCAAGGCCTGTTTAGCCCTCTCTGGATTTGACCTTGGGCAAGTCATTTCTCCTTTCCCAACCTCAGTTTGTTCCTTTGGGGTTTGGGTTCCTGTGAGAAGAAAATGAGACACATGGAAAGTGGCTGGTCAGCCGTCAGTGAGGAGGAAGTGTTCCTTCTTTTGATGGCCCCAAGGGAGGACAGGCCTGGGGTGTGGGGAGCGCTTCGGCCTGGGCCCACTTAGAGGACGTCGGGTTTATTTAACAGGGCCTCACAGCAGAATTGTGGCTCCCAGGGTGTGGCCTTTGGCTGTGGGGTTGACGCCACCTTGTCATTCCCCGCTGGAGACACAGGCCTGAACAGTGTTCCTCTGAGCCCTCACCCAAGAAGACCAGACCGCAAGAAGCTGTCTCCCGCCTCCAGAGTCCCCCCTCTTCCGTCAGGAGCAGGAACTTGGGTTCTGTCAGAACCTAAGTGTCCTCCATGAGCAAAAGGGGAAAATGCATGCATAACATGCTTGGCACTTGGCACACATTTGGGCGGGGCGGTGGGGGGGGCCAGTCAGATCCTGCCCTTGACTTTAGCCCCATCTCCCACTCACAGGGTCAACTCACAACATTCCCTGTGGTGCAGGGCAAGACAGTCAGTTCAGCTCTGACTGACCCTCTTGGAGTCTGTCCGTCAAGTGGCAAAAAGTGACTAGTTTTCAGAGGGACCAGCCCCCAGGGCACCTTCCCAAGGCTCAGGGATGCCTGGGCACATTGGCTTCCTCCTAGAGCATCTAGCGCCTGTTCTCGAAGGACTAGCAACCCCAGGCCACCAAACCAGGGGCGTGAACTCAGGAGGATTCCAGAGTGGTCACTGCAGAAGGTCTTTGGGGTGGGGGTGGGTGTCTAACTGTGCCCTGCCTGAAGTGAGGCCTTGGGGGTCACGGGGACGGGCATTCAAGGCAGAAGAAACAACAGGGGCAAGAAGAGTGTGGAGGCGGGAAGCAGGGGCGGGCGAGGGGCTGGAGGCTGGAGGCCGAGCTTGGCTGACATGGGGGTGGGGACTGCAGGTTCCAGGCACCGCTGTGGAGCAGCCCCGAAGGACCTGAGTGGAGGAACAGGGCGAGGGCAGGACTCAGGCTGGGGTGGCCTCACTGTCCTGGAGGGCCTGCAGTGACTCGGAGAGAGTGGGGTTCACTGGACCCTGCAGGGCTGAGAGCGGCAGGGCCTGGGCAGTTAGCGGACTCCCCTGTGCACGCCAGCGCCCGGGGCCCGGCGCCAGACACCTCTGGGAAGGGGTGCTCCATCTGGTCTGCTCTCCCAGGGGGCGCTGCTGGGGGGGGGATGAGAATAAGATGCCCCCCTGCTGGGAGGTAGGGGCCCCAACACAGGCCCAGCAGCCCTCAGGCTGCCCCACAGCATCCCGTGCTATTTCCCCTCCAGGAACATGACATTGAGACACCTTACGGCCTGCTGCACGTCGTGATCCGGGGCTCCCCCAAAGGGAACCGCCCTGCCATCCTCACCTACCATGACGTGGGCCTCAATCGTAAGTGCACCCCGGCCCCATCCTGCCTGCTTCGGCCTCCCCTCCTTCCCCACAGGACCCCCTAGGGCCCCACTCACGCTCAGGTCTGTGACCTTAGCCGTTTGGGGCTCGGTGTTCCTGCAGGCCCGTGAGGCTGAGCACGTCCACCTTGCCCTCCCTCTCAGGCCCACAGGCCCCCCCCACCCCTTTGCTGAGCCACAGCTGACAGGTGTGTCTTTGCAGACAAGTTGTGCTTCAACACCTTCTTCAACTTCGAGGACATGCAGGAGATCACCAAGCACTTCGTGGTGTGCCACGTGGACGCCCCTGGTCAGCAGGTGGGGGCGTCACAGTTTCCCCAGGGGTAGGTACCGGGGAGCCCCCCGTCCGGATTTCCCCAGCTCTGTGGCCCAGGCTGCACCCGGCCCTGACCTCCCCCTCTGCCTGCAGGTACCAGTTCCCCTCCATGGAGCAGCTAGCCGCCATGCTCCCCAGTGTGGTGCAGCACTTCGGGTGAGTCCCCACCCAGACCCTGTCCCTGGGCTGGGGGCCGGAGGGTCCCCCCCTCCCGCCACTGCAGAGCCAGTGGGCACCAGCTGAGGGCAGTTGTGGGAAGTGCCTGCCCCCCAGCCCCTGGAGTGACCGGCCATGCTTTCCACCAGGTTCAAGTACGTGATTGGCATCGGAGTGGGAGCTGGAGCTTATGTGCTGGCCAAGTTTGCAGTGAGTCTCCCTCCTCCCACCCCCATCCCGGGCGACGACTCCCTTCAACCCCAGGAACATACGCTCTTTCTTCCTGCTCCTTCCCCTCCTCCCAATTTGCTCTTCACTTAGAAAATCCCTTTTTCTTCTTTTTTTCACCCAAGGAAATTAAAAAAAAATTACTTTTTCCATACATTTCCTCAAAAGACTATAAACGATAACTTGCTTAGCCGTTAGCCAAAGCCCAAATTTCTGTGAGCAACAGACTCTCCAACGAATTGCTCTAGCCACTAAGTTAAGGATTCTCCTAGTCACTTATACACTGATCAGGGTAATATTTAAACGCGAGTCATTTCTTAACCAAAAGTTACACTTATGTTTGGAAGGTTTAAAAAAAGTTGCATTTTAGAAACCTCACGTTGGGTAGGAGCTCACAAGCTTTCCATCTTTGAAGACAAAAACTTAATTTTCAGGATTCAAAATATTTCCATTTTTTTTTTCTTTTAAAATATTTCTTTTTCCAAGGGGCGCCTGGGTGGCTCAGTTGGTTAAGCGACTGCCTTCGGCTCAGGTCGTGATCCTGGAGTCCTGGGATCGAGTCCCGCATCGGGCTCCCTGCTCAGCGGGGAGTCTGCTTCTCCCTCTGACCCTCCCCCCTCTCATGCTCTCTCTCTCTCTTTCATTCTCTCTCTCAAATAAATAAATAACATAAAATATTTCTTTTTCCAAAAGAGAAGGCCAAGCGTTCTGAACTCCAGTGTGGATTTCAGCACTTAACCACTTGTTAGCTGCCGATCATCCCGTCCCCCCAGAAAAACTTGACAGGATAGCAGTGTCGTGTGTAGATTTTACCGTTCCCCCCCCTCCCCGTTTTCCCCTGAAGAAATCATTCAAATCTCTTCTTCTACCGTCAAATACAACACAGGCTTTGGAAAGGCTGGTGTCCTCCACTAGGGCTGCTTTCTCTCTGGAAACAAAGAAGCAAAATGTTTCACTGAAGATGTTTACTCAGTTTTACAACAGCATCTCCAAAGACCTAAAAGGCGAGGAAAACAGTACTAGAGGCATAGATTCGAAATCAAAGAACGGCGCAAGGTTCCAGGCGGGGAGGAGGGCGAGCAGGGGCTGCTGGAAGGGGAGCCCGGGCAGGTGTCCCGCTGTGGCCGGTGGAGTCACCCGCGGCTCCTTGAAGCCCTTGCAGAGCGTGTCCTCCTCGGACCCTCCCAGGCACCTGTGAGATAGGCAGGGCCGGCCTGACAGCCCGTGTTCTCGGCGGGAAGATGGGGGGGCTCCCTGTACACCCTCCCGCCCCCCAAGCCCTGTCTCCCTCGCCCCGCAGCTCATCTTCCCCGACCTGGTGGAGGGGCTGGTGCTGATGAACATTGACCCCAATGGCAAAGGCTGGATCGACTGGGCGGCCACCAAGGTGAGCGTGGTCCGCATAGATGGGGGTGCTGGTGGTGCTGGTTCCGGGGGGGGCGGGGGGTGAGGGTAAGGGGTGGCACTCACGCTGGCCCCTGGCCCTGCCCGCAGCTCTCCGGCCTCACCAGCACTTTACCTGACACGGTGCTATCCCACCTCTTCAGCCAGGTAAGGGGGCGGGGCGCACGTGGGAGCAGCGGCGGTGGTGGCTGACCTGGGGGTGTTGGGAGTCTCTAGAGGGCCTGGTTCCGCCCACTCTCCAGGGTGCCCAGGACTTGTACCCCCTCACAGCCAGGCAGGAGGAGGAGGTCTGGGTTGGCGTTATGTGGCATCTGACCTGTCTCACTCTGTTCGGCTGAGACAGATGTTGGGGGGGGGCCTCCTCCCCACAGCTGAGTGGAGCCCTCCCCTCACTTCATGAGGCCCTGCTGCCACACACCCCCCACCCAGGCTGGGAATGGGACAAGGGCTGCTGGGCTGTGCTACCTGCATGCCCCCTCGGAGACCCCATCCCCATCTGTCTGTCCGCTCCCCTCCGTGCACCTCCCCCGTCTGTCCCCCTGGGCCCAGGAGGAGCTAGTGAGCAACACAGAGTTGGTGCAGAGCTACCGGCAGCAGATCGGGAACGTGGTGAACCAGGCCAACCTGCAGCTCTTCTGGAACATGTACAACAGGTGCGCGCGGCGTGGGGCTCACCTCTGCGGCACCAGGCACAGAGCGCTCACTCCGTCGGGGCTCATAGAAGGAGGCAGGTCGGACACATGCGCTCCCCAGTTTGCAGATGGGCAGCTTGGTGCATCTTTGAGAAGAGTCACTGCTTGCTCAGGGTCATTCCCGTTGAAGGGCAGAGGGGGAGCAGGGCTGCGGACTCTGGTTCTTGGGCTCTTCCACGCCTTTTCCCTTGGGGCATTGCGGTCCAGCCAGGAGCGGTGTGGGATGTGGGCAACACCCCTGACCCCCACAGCCTGAACCTCAGGGCTGACATCTGTAGATGGAGAAGAGGCTGGATGAAGCCCTTGGTTTTCAAGCTGTGCTCCTTGGAGCCCACTGGCCTGCCCTCCTTCCTTTCTCCTACAAATATTAAGCACCTGCTGTGTGCGTGGTGCTGTGGACACAATGGAGGCTGAGAGGACCAGGGCCTGCCTCCCTCTCCGACCCTGGAGCCCCATGCACAGGTGGTGGTGCATGTCGGAGCAGTGCTTCGAGGGGGAGCGAGAGCTAAACTGAGGGCCCACCTGACATGAATTGTGGGGTCTGAGGAGTTCCACATGAGGGGAGACCTGAAGACCCCCTATGTGTGCAGGGCAAATCCCTGTCTCTCTGTTTACCGGCTGGGATCTGGAAGGCCTTTTCCAGAGCTGAGATAACTCGATAACCATAAGCCCCAACTCTGGGCCCAGACTGGGACATGGGGCCATAATTGCCATTGTGGGAGGCTGGGGTAGGGCCCTGAGGCACATGACCCCCGGGATCCAGTCCTGAGATGCCCACCTCCACCTCTGCCTCTCCCTGCAGCCGCAGAGACCTGGACATTAACCGGCCCGGAACAGTGCCCAATGCCAAGACGCTCCGGTGAGTGTGCCGCGCCCCGCCCCCCAGCCTGCCCCTGCCCACCCCCACACCCCGGGCCAGACAGACAGCCCTTTTCCTCTGTGTCTACAGCTGCCCAGTGATGCTGGTGGTTGGGGACAACGCGCCCGCCGAGGATGGGGTGGTGAGTGAGGGACTCTGCCCTGACCGGGGGTGGGGGGCCGGGGGGAGAGTAAGGGCATCATTGGCCTCTGGCCAGCAGGGCCAGGACCTGGATGTTGGACTTCTCAGCCCACCTCCCCACCATCTTGCCACGCATCACCACCAGGCACAGCCCCAGCCTTCAAGTGAGGGAGGCGTGGAGACTGGAGGGAGTTGGGGCCAGACCGCCTGCCGTCCCCCCCCCCCTCCCGCCCAGCAGTGCAGCCCCACCTCAGTCTCTACCCGCTTCGGGCCCAGAGCCGGAGCTCTCTTCTCTACAGCTTGTTTCACTCACTGTGGAGCGATCCCTGAGCAGTGCATCCTTGGACTAGCCCTTGCACCCGTTACCTTTGGGGATTGTCACCTTTCCCACTGGAGCTCTGGAAGCAGGCAGCCCGAGGCTTCATGTCCCCGTTAGCACAGAGGCCTAGGGTCCAGGAGTAGCCGGGGCCACCCCGCAGTGTGCCCGGGACGCTTTCCCTGCGCCCGAGGAGGAGGGCTCGGAGGAACGGACCACCTGAACCCCGGCAGGCCTCTGTCTCCTGATCCTTGACACTCCCTCACCTCGCCGCCTGACCCCCGCAGGCCCTGGCACTTTCCCAGCCACTGCCATCGAGGTGGCCCTGGCTCCCTGTAAGGACATGGCCCAGCCCCTGTCCCACTCCCGCCCTGCCAGCACTTGTGAGGGGAGTCCCAGCGTCTCGGGTCCCTCGGGGTGGGGGGCGGAGGGCTGCTTCCTGATCTGCAGCGGCTTGCACCTTCAGAAGGCAGCCTGCGTGCCCTCCCTCGGCTCTGGGACTCGAACCTGCCTTAGCAACTGCGGTACGGGACTCCCCTGATCCCCCAGGGGCTGGGGCTGCCTGACTCTGCTGACCTTGTCCCTAGGTGGAGTGCAACTCCAAACTGGATCCCACCACCACGACCTTCCTGAAGGTGAGGCCTTCCTCCCCAGCCAAGGGCCCAGCCTCAGGGAGGGGCGTGCCTGGGGTCCCCTGGGGTGGGAGCAAGACAGTGTGTCTGCTCAGGGCAGCCTGTTTAGGTATAGGAGGCCTGGGCAAGGTGTGGGGTGGCCCCTGCTCAGCTCACCCCCCTCTCTCCCCTGCAGATGGCAGATTCCGGGGGGCTCCCCCAGGTCACACAGGTGAGACTCCTGGCCCTCCCTCCCTTATCTAGCCCAGGTGGGGGACGCCTCCCTTCCCCCCAGTCCCAGGCAGCCAATCAAAGCATGTGATTGTTTCTCTGTCCTGCAGCCAGGGAAGATGACTGAGGCCTTCAAATACTTCCTGCAAGGCATGGGCTACAGTAAGTAAACCTCCCCCCATCCTCACCCCAGAGGCTGGTGGGCAGGCTGCAAAGTGGGGCTGGCGTGCGGTGTCGGGTGGCACTGAGCAGCCTGCGGGCATATGAGGTCTGCGTAAGTGGGGCCCAGATGCTGTGCCACCCACCACTTGCTCCCCGCTGTGACTGGGCACTCTCTAGGGCATCCCCACCTGAGTTGTGAGTAGATGAGCCCAGACTGTGTTGGGCTCTCCTGTGCCCTTGGGGAGGCTTTGGGACGCTGTTCTCATGGCGACGTGAGGGTGGTAGGCTCTTCTTCAGGCCCGGGGTACCAGAGCCCGAGGCTGGCTCCCGCCCAGAAAGCCTACCTAAAGGTGAGTCCTACACACCGCCCACTCCCCTGCCAGACGTACAGCACCTGAGAAGGGCTTTTGTCACAGGTGCTGGACGGTATCAGGGGCATTAGAGGGGCCTTGGAGGCTGGGGCCCAAGGAAGGCACGTGGGAGAGCTAAAGGCGGCTGAACCTGGGGGTGGCATAGGTGAAGACCCCAAGGTGATAGGGGCTGTGGGGCGGCAACGGCCACCCTCCTCCCCTCTCCAGACTCCGCCTTGTGCAGGGATGAGATGCCCAGACTGCTCATGAGCACCTCCAAAACACACACACGCCCGCACGCAAGCACACGCGCACACCGTATCTCCTTGATGCCCCCCCTTTCCCGCATCTACCTGGCTCTCCTGCTGGAAGCAGAACTCCTCTCCCTGAATTTGTGTCTCCCCCCAGACTTCAGCCTCTGGAGCTTGTGCCCCCAGGGAAGGACAGGCCCATGGGGGAAGGCTGAGGCCCAGCCAGGAGCGGAACCGCCTCTGGGCCGCAGGAGCCTGCCAGCCTCTCTGTGGACAAGTAGGGCAGAGAGAGGCCCAAGCCAACAGTGGGACACAGCAGGAGCTCTGCGGCTGGGCCTGAGCCCCAGGGGTGCCCACTGAATATTTGTGACATGGGTAGACGAGCAATGCTTGTTAGGCTGGGGCATGTTCTCAGGGCCCCGGGAGAGCCACCACCAGGCAGCCCAAGAGCTGGGCAGGATTTAGGAGGTTGTGCAGGCCTCCCCCAGTCTGTACCTGGGGAGACTGAGGCCCAGAAGAAGGGGGAGGGTGCTGCTGCTAGGACGCAGGCCCAACAGCCCCTCTCACCATGAGGCCCTGGGTGCCGTAGCCCAGGCTGGAGAAGCAGGGGCAACAGGAGTGTTCCCAGCATGGTGTCAGGGCTGCTACTTTGGGGGGTGGGCAGGAGTGGGCTTCCTGAGGTTCTGGCCTGGCCCAGCCCGCTCTGTGCCTGTGCTGTTGTCTCCTCTCCCTGACCCATCGCAACACCCTGGCCCCGCCGGATCATGCTCTTCACCCGTGTTCTGTGTCTCCCCCCACCCCACCCCGCCCCTCTGGCTCTGTCTTCTCTCTTAGTTGCATACTTGAAGGACCGAAGGCTGAGTGGAGGAGCAGGTAGCCCCGTGGCCCCTTCCCCTGATGCATGGACCCCTGCCCCAGTACCCCCCCCTCCCCCGCTCCTTCCTCTGTGCAGTGCTGCAGCTGGGCCTCATCTTGCTGTGGTTTGGAACTTTCTTGTGTCCTGCTCGCCTCCAAAGCCCAAAAGAGTCCTCCTGCTTTTTCACAGGTCCTGGGCCCTAGTGGGCTGGCACCCCATGTTCGGGCTCTGTTGTGGCCGGGGTTGAGAGCAGTCTGGCTTCTGGGGTGCCATGGGCCGTGTGGCTTTCCGAGCTCAGGCAGCTGGAACCAGAGCCTCACAGAGGGAAGGCCCAGGCCTGGCCCTGGGAGCAAGGGTGTCCGGCCATGCCCGAGCTGGATGGGTGGCCACTTGTGTTCAGGAAGGTGGAGTTCGCCCTCTGAGAGTCTTGCTTGTGAAAGTCTGAATATGGACAGAAACTGGATTTAAGGCCGTCTGTGGCCTCCACACCTTGTCCTCCTTGACGGAAGTAGTCCTGCTCCCCTGTCCCATCATTCTCTCGAGGGAGGCACTGTTGCTAATACGTCCCATCCCCGCATCAGCTCGGGGGTCCGCAGTCAGACCGCCCTGCTCCGGCCGTAGCTCTGGCCAGCTGTCGTGAGATGGGTCCTGCTGGCCTCTGCGGGGCCCCCGGCCCCCCCCCCACTGCCTCTCGGGCACAGTCACTGGTGCTGGTGCTGCATGCCCCCGGCTTGACAGAGTAGATACCAGCGCCGCGGCTTGAGATGGGCCCCTGTGCCGTTGGAAGAGCGGGTCTTGGTGGCCGCTTCGCTTGCGTCAGTCCTCGTCCCGCCCGCCGGCCCCTAGCCCTGCCCGCCCGCCCTCAAGCCCGCTCCCATCTCTGTCCACAGTGCCCTCGGCCAGCATGACCCGCCTCGCCCGCTCTCGTACCGCGTCGCTCACCAGTGCCAGCTCGGGGGATGGCAGCCGCCCGCCGGCCTGCACCCACTCGGAGAGCAGTGAGGGGCTGGGCCAGGTCAACCACACCATGGAGGTGTCCTGTTGAAGCCTGTGGCCCGGCAGAGACGCCCACCCGCCCCCGCCCGCGTCGACGTCCCACCGCCATCCTCACGCCGGCTCATTTTCCTTTTAGTTTATTTTTGTGAAGGCCAAGGGGAGGAAATGGTTTTACTTCTCTTCTGTTAAAAAGATGAGGGGGTTCATCCTAGATGCTGCGGAACAGTCTCCAGATGGTTTTGAGAGGCTCACTCCTCCCCACCCCCACCTCACTCACCTTGTTAACTTGGCTGACTTAGGCCCCCCTCTTCCAACTCCCCACAGTCAGGGCGGGGTACAGGGAGGAAGGGGATTTGCTAAGGAGAGAGTTCGAGTCCTTCTCTGGGCAAGATCCAGGATAATTTCCTAGACTGAAGAAAGCATGGGATGACCCCCTTGGGCAGGCAGATTTGAAGATGGGATGGGGTTTTGAGGTGGTGTGTTGGGACAGCAGGTCACAAGGTCCAGCTCAGGTACGGAGGTGACAAACCAGGAGGCAGCATTGGGGAGCACTAGGAGGCAGGAGCCCTGGAGCTCTGCAGGCCCTTTTTCTCCCCATCTCCTCCACCAAGCACATCTGTTTCTTTTTGCACATGTGACAATCATCTGAACCATAGCCACAAGGGGGCGCTCCTACCAGGCCGCCGTTTTCCTGGTGCTCTCTGGGCTGGCCTGGTGATATAGGGCCAGGCAGGCAGGGACTGAACAGGGTTTCTCTGCCCAAAGAAGACAGAACACAGAAGACCTAAGAGGCAGGAACCCCACAGACTGTCTCAGCCCACACACTCCACCACCTCCTGGCCTTGTCCCATGTCTGAGCCAAGGCCCTGTGGTAGAAAGTTGCTTGATCCTCTATCTCCATTGGGACCTGATTTGGGGGCTGAGCTTAAATGCTGGAACAGCCCATGAGGGTTGGGCACACCCAAGAACCTCCTGGGTCTGCCTTCAGAACCAGGATGTGGCTGGAGGCAGTGGTGGCTGAGATTCCCAGTTCCATGGAGGACAACCCAATCAGCAGCTGTGTGTCCAAGGCCACCAGAAACATGGTGTTGTTTCTGGTCGTGGTCAAGCTATGCCAATATTTTCTGTGGGCATCACTAAGAAGACAGTTTATTTGGAGAGAAATGGAATAAGGTAGTGAGACTTCTGCAGGCCCCCACTACCATCTCAGGACCACTGGAGTGGCTTGGGCTGGGGCTTGCTGGGTCCTGGGGTGGGAGGTGAAGGTTTCTGAAGTGAACAAGGGCCAGGCAGAGGAGAAAGGCTCTCCATAAACCCCGGTCCCCTCCTTTCACCTGAAGCCCAGGACTGTGGGCTTCACATCCCACCCACCCACACTATCAGGGAGAATCTCCTGGCCCAAAAACCAGAGCCACTGGTCTTGGAGCCTAAATCAATTGCCAAACCCCATTTTGAAATGAGGGGAGAGAGCAATGAAAACTGCAGGGCTGCGGAGGGGACAGTTGTGTGTGAGGTGCTCTGAGGCTGCGCGGACACCTGCATCCATCTTTCCTTGGCACATATCACCCCCTTCTAGAATCTTAAGCCATTACTAGACTGCTCTAGAGCCTGGTGGAGTGTTAGTCTGTCCCCAGTTCTATTCACTCACGTGCTTCCTTTGAATATCAAATGTGACTGTTTGAAAAGCTGGTAGAATTAATCCCTCTTACTATAGATAGCGCTGCAGACCTTGGATTTTTTTTTTCTGTGTTCTTTCAGATGAGATATCTATAAATATCTATACATTATATATATATATGTATATTGGGTCTTCCCTGCGTGTGGTTTTCCATAGGAGGTTGTCTCTTTGGTCAAAGTGAACTTTTAATGGAGTTTATTATTTTCCTCTGTATAAAGTGAAGAACCTAATTTTGTGTATTCTGGTGGCTGATGTCATGAAACTTTGATGACAAAATGTAAAACAAATAAAAACCCTTGTCAAAGTAGAAAGAGCTAACTGTGCTGGCAAACTAATAAGGAAATGAAGAATTTGAGTATGGTGATGCCAGGCCCATCACGGGAAGCTTTTTTTTTTTTTTAAAGATTTTATTTATTTATTTGAGAGAGAGAATGAGAGATAGAAAGCACGAGAGGGAAGAGGGTCAGAGGGAGAAGCAGACTCCCCGCTGAGCAGGAAGCCCGATGTGGGACTCGATCCCGGGACTCCAGGATCATGACCTGAGCCGAAGGCAGTCGCTCAACCAACTGAGCCACCCAGGCACCCCACGGGAAGCTTTTTGAGAAGGCTACGTCGAGGTTGGTGCTTCCTGGGTTTAGGTAGGACTGAGTGTGCAGGAGTTCCCATTCCATGTTTCTATTTGTTTTTTGGGGTTTTTTTTAACTCTACCCCCGGCCTTGGGGCTTGAACTCAGGACCACCCGTTGGTTGATCAAGAGTCACATGAACCAGCTGGGTGCCCCATTTATTTCCATTTCTTAACACATTATCTTAACAATCCTTACATTTTTTTAAAAAGATAATTATTTGAGAGAGAACATGGGCGGGGGAGGGGGGACGCAGAGGGAGAAGCAGGAGCTCTGCTGGACGATCCCAGGACCCTAAGATCACGACCCCAGCTAAAGGCAGATGCTTAACAGCCACCCAGGTGCCCCACCAATCCTTACATTAATTCCACAAGATATATATTATCTTAGTTTCACAGCTAAGGAAACGGAGCCTCAGGATAAGGGATTTGCCCTAAGAAGCCAAGCTAGTAGCTGGCTTTGGCATTGCAGGACTTCAAAACCCTGCTTCATTTTCTTAACAGCATGCTACTTTGTTATGTTTAGCCACCATTTCTGACTCATTCACTCAATAAACAGACACAGAGTACCTGCTATATGTCAACTAATAAAGCACGTAAATAAAAAAACCCACCATATGCTATGCGTATGATGAAAAACAGGGATATACTAGCGAGTGCGGGCACAGCGGGGTTATTCCAGTTCTGGGAACCCTTCCCATGCCCCTCGGAAACACACAACCTGTCCCACGGCACTCCGAAACGCACGCGCGCACACACCTGCTCTGAGCAAATAAAATGGTTCGATTACCCTGGCTAACGAGGAGTCGCGATCAGGAAGGCAAGCTGCCCGCCCACCTGGGTGCGCTCACATCAGGTCAGCCGGGAGGCCCTCGCGTTGGCATCCAGAAACTGAATTTTGTTCTTCACCTGGACTTCTCCGAAATGTCTCAGCTCTTGGGGACCAAAGGGGAGAGAGTTGAGCCTTGCTCAGAACCAGGCTCGAGGCGGTACAGAGATACGTCTTCCTGGACCCGACCGCCCGTGTTCTAAACCCAGCTAGAGACACCCGGGCTCCAGAAGGACGCTCTCAGGAGGAGTGACTTGACCAGGTGCAAACCCCCATCGTTCTCCGCGTGGACGCCGGGACGAACGTCACGTGGCGCCGGGGCGGGGCTCATAGCCCCGCCCCCCACAGGCCTTTCCCGGGACACCGGAAGCACCAGCGCGGAGCTCCTGACCCGCGGGGCCGAGCGGCCTCGACAATGGCGACGCAGGCGAAGCGCCGGCGGGTAAGTCGCGGGGGACGGGAGTGGGGTCCGCCCGTTTCCTCCTCCCTACCCCGCCCGCAGTGCGGTCCCGCGCGCGTCTCCTCCCTCGCTCGCGCGGGTCCCTGGTCGCCCTCCGCGTCCCCTCCCCCACCCAGAGCCCATCCTCCGCGCGCGCCTCCGTCTCCTCCCGCGTCCCGCGCGTTCTCCGGGGCGGGTCCTTTCCACGGCGCTCGCTCGTTCCAGGTGGCGGGGCCTGTGGGCGGCGGCGACGCGGACCCAGACCCGGTGGCCGGTTTCCTGAGTTGGTGCCGGCAGGTGGGGCTGGAGCTGAGTCCCAAGGTGAGGCGGCGGGGGTGCGGGCGGGCGCGGCGGGGACGCAGGCCGGCTCTGACCGGCCGCTCCTCCGTCCAGGTGGCGGTGAGCCGGCAGGGCACGGTGGCCGGCTACGGCATGGTGGCCCGGGAGAGCGTGCAGCCCGGGGAGCTGCTGTTCGCCGTGCCGCGGGCCGCGCTCCTGTCGCAGCACACCTGCTCCATCGGCGGCCTGCTGGAGCGAGGTGGGTGCGCCGGCGGGGATGGGACCGGGAGGCGGGCCGCGCAGTGGCGCCGGGGTTCTCACCGCCGTGTCTGTCACTTCCGTGTCTCCGTCAGAGCGAGGCGCGCTGCAGAGCCAGTCGGGCTGGGTGCCGCTGCTGCTGGCGCTGCTGCACGAGCTGCAGGCCCCGGCCTCGCCCTGGAGCCCCTACTTTGCGCTCTGGCCGGAGCTGGGCCGCTTGGAGCACCCCATGTTCTGGTGAGAGCCTTAGTAGGGGTGGGGAGCACCAGCACCAGGGCCTGGCTCGAAGCGTCCTGGCCCCGGCGACCGGGTTCCCAGGCACTAGTCCCGGTGAGGTGTGTGAAGGGAACCCGGTGGGGTGTCACTGCAGGCCTGAGGAGGAGCGCCGGCGACTGCTGCAGGGCACAGGCGTACCGGAGGCCGTGGAGAAGGACTTGGCCAACATCCGCAGCGAATACTATTCCATCGTGTTGCCCTTCATGGAAGCCCACCCCGATCTTTTCAGCCCCAGGGTCCGCTCCCTGGAACTCTACCGCCAGCTCGTGGCTCTTGTGATGGCCTACAGGTCAGTGAGCAGAACCTTGAAGCACTTTTTTCTTTAGAACTCTATTGAGGGATGAGAGGGGAAAGAACAATGAACCACACCCCAGTCTCTCACCCTACACTGGGCTTTAGCAAAGTTCTCTCTGTGGCAGCTTTCAGGAACCACTGGAGGAAGAGGAGGATGAAAAGGAGCCAAACTCCCCTTTGATGGTGCCTGCTGCAGACATACTAAACCATTTAGCCAATCATAATGCCAATCTAGAATACTCTCCAGTGAGTGGATCCCTCTCAGTTCTCGTTCTTATGTGCACTGACGATCAGGCATTTGATTCAAACCAGTGCCTGTCATTTATGCTTGCCTGGTAGTTGGGCTAAGTGGGGTCCATTCTCCTCATGATAAAAAGGCATAGGTGAAGTTAGCTTTTCTTGTTATGTTCAGTTTGCATATTCCACTCAAATAGTTTGAACACAGAACCTCAATACCCACCAAGTAAGTTACGGTTATTTCTCTGCTAAGCTACTGCCATCATTTATTTGGTGCTAGAGGTTGGCTATACTGTCAGTACTTTTTGGGAAGAAGGGGAAGGAAAGGGGATGGTCATAGGTCAGGTCTAAGATGATACCAGGGTTCTATCAATTCCATTTGCTAGGTGGAAAGTTACAAGAAAAGATCCAAGTTTATGGAATTAGGGAATGGCTGTTTTTTAATCCTGGCCTCCATCTGCCATTCTTACTTTGGGTTTAATCATTTCTAAAAGCTAGCAGGTTTTTAAGTACTGAGGATGACTGAGCAGAGGTTCACCCAATAAATCAATGAGGCTGAACTTGACCTTTGTCTCACCTCTTTCATCCTACTGTGTAGGCATATTACACTTCAGATATTGTGCTTTTTACAAATAGGTTTGTGGCAACCCTGTGTTGAGTAAGTCTATCAGTGCCATTTTTTCCAACACCAGTTGCTTTTATGTCTGTGTGTCCTATTTTGGGAGGAATTAGAATTGCAAGAATTGCAATATTTCAAACGTTTCCGTTATTACTGTATTTGTTTTGGTGATCTGATCAGTAATTACAACTCACAGAAAGCTCAGATGGTGGTTAGCACTGTTTAGCCAAAAAAAGCTGTTTTCTAAGATAAGTACGTTTTTATAGGCACTGGGACTTTTTTTTAAAACAGTATTTGCTTTTTTTTGTGGTGGTGTGGAACTGAACCTACATACAATCTCTGAGGTATGCCTATATAGGATCTTAATAGGAACTAAAAGTAAAATGTTGGTAGGTATATATCATCAGTCCCATTGCTGAACTGTACCCACTGGAAAGCTCTTCCTAAGAGGGACTTAATCTTCATGGGGCTGGCCAGGCATTTGTTGGGCCTGGTCCAAGCTTCTCCCTTCCACCCCAGAATTGTCTTCGGATGGTGGCCACTCAGCCCATTCCTAAAGGCCATGAAATTTTCAACACTTACGGGCAAATGGCTAATTGGCAACTGATTCATATGTATGGTTTTGTTGAACCATATCCTGACAACACGGATGACACAGCTGACATTCAGATGGTGACAGTTCGTGAAGCAGCATTACAGGGTGAGTGTCTGATCCAATCTTGGGACACCAGTGGACATGTCTCTATCCCCACCCCAGGTGCTCTTAAAGAGCAGTTGCCCGTTTTTTAGAGACCAGGTAGTAGACTAAGAAGAAAGGAACTGCTGGGTATATGCAGACTTTGACACTATTACTATCTACAGGAACAAAAGCTGAAGCTGAAAGGCTCCTACTGCATGAACGCTGGGATTTCTTATGCAAACTGGAGATGGTTGGGGAAGAGGGAGCCTTTGTGATTGGGCGTGAGGAGGTACTGACTGAAGAGGAACTAACCACCACACTCAAGGTAAAGGGCTGAGAATGGCCGATGTATTTAGAACTAGATAAAGCCAAATGAGAAAGGAAACATGGGATGGAGGGAGAGCACACTTAAATGCTGCCAAGATAGGCTTCTCTAAATTCAGAAATTCACAATTACAGGGCAATTAAATGCCTAATTGAAAGGCCCAATGATTGCTTCTAGGTCCTATGCATGCCTGCTGAGGAGTTCAGAGAGTTTAAAGAGAAGGATGGATGGGGAGATAATAAAAGGGAAGGCGACAGCTTGACGATCACAAATATCCCCAATCTCAAAGCATCATGGAAACAGCTTCTTCGGAACAGTGTTTTGTTGACCCTGCAAACCTATGCCACAGACTTAAAATCTGAACAAGATTTACTCAGTAACAAGGAGGTCTACACCAAACTCAGCTGGAGGGAACAGCAGGCCCTGCAGGTTCGCTATGGTCAGAAGATGATCTTACATCAGTTGTTGGAACTGACAACTTAACAGGTTCCGTGTTGCCTGAGGGAACATCGATGAGAGGAACTTTATTCAAATGTTCACTGATGGTTGAAAAAAAGGAAAATGTGGATCTTTTGCTTTTCCTTTTATTAAACACCAAAAGGAAAAGGAGCAGAGGTGGTTTGCTAGGGTTAACTCTGAGGTAAGGGTGAACTGTGACTGGGCACAGCAGACTTGGAAATTGCTGATGGTTTACTAAGACCAATAAATCTTAAAACTGCTTTATTCTCAGTTTGAACCAGAGTTAGCAGAAATGTGACAGTATTAAGGTCTTCGTTGTAGTCTAGCATTTAGTAACATCGACTCTGAAAGGAGACCTGGGTCTATTTTGAGCAAGCTTTTTTCCAAGACTTAGTTTCCTGTTCGAGGGTTTGACGAGCTATGGCCCTGGCACTGAGCAGTCTGAAGTTTGCTCTAGATGGCACAACTCACCCTTAAGGGAAGAAACCCTAAGACACCAATGACATTCAAACCTTACTCATTAAAATTTCTATTTAATCTTGAACCTTTTTGTCCTCTGTGGCCATAAAACTTGACAATCATTAAAGGTAAGGTGTATTTTAAGTGGCATAAATTTTAAATGTTTTGTAATTCTTTAACCAAAGAAAGAAACCTGCTCCAGTGATTTTCTGTTGAAACATGCCAGATTAGCGGGAAAGATCAATCATTCAGCAAGAAGTGATGTTTCCCAATGGCCCCAGGCTCTGCGAGACTGGGTGGTCCACTTTCCTCCTCACCACCAGCACTGGCTGCTGCTACTGAGAAAGGCACAGTGGACTCACGTGTGTGTCATGACTTTAATGTTTGACTACAGTATGCATACACATACAAGGGAGCTAGAGCCCAGGAACTAGAAAGGCTACAAAATACAACACATGGACCAATACATTTACAAAACATTCAAATCCTTAAAAAAAGGGGCTGTATTGGTCCTTTTGACTTTGTTGTTCAACATAGCCTATACGGCTATTCACTGGGATGATGGGGAAGGGCAATTCATACACTATTAGTCCCCTTTCCCACAATTTACAAGTATGAGGAGAGAGCCAGGGGCACTTTTAGGCGTGGTCTGGTTTCCCTTTATAAAAAGAGCTGACTGCATCTCGGGGCCTAAGGGGGTAGTTCTCCAGTAGAAATGAGAAAATGATGCTCTCCCAGCAGTCAGCTTTAGATCTGGGGAAGAGGCAAAACAAAAATCCATGGGATCTCAATTGTGAGCTCTTCCCATGTTCCCTAAGCATACCAAATAGTAGCACATACACGTATTTAACAACTTTATGATTTTCAGGGTCCCCTATCCACATTAAAAAAATAAGTTACACATTATTTAAACTGGCTTTTTTGCTATTCTTTGGGACACCAGGAATGTCAGAAGACATGGAGCTATGTTATATCCCCAGACAAGTGCATGGCGTCAACAGCCTTTCAGTTACAAGCTGGGCAGGTACCAAGTTTATCTACTTGCCTTGGACACATTTTGCACAAACCCAAGAAGTTCCAGACAAAGGTTTTATCTTTCATATATTTACACAAGTTCAAAATGATATTCACAGCATCTTCTAAATTTTGGCCAAGTCAAAAAAATGCATTTAAACTTTGGAACGTGCCCACATACACAGGAAGCTGACCCAAACAGTAATTGGGGCAGGTACCCGAGAACCAAAGGGCTGGGAAAGTCAGGAGGAGCTGAAAGGATTCTTCAGCCAGTTTATAAACCTGGTGCAGTGGGACCTCCAGGCTGACACGTTTACAGCAGAGATGTAGTTCCATCTAACTGGCACCTGTCCCTTCCATTACTTGCTGAGCCTGCTTCTGTCCCATGCAGCACTGTGCAACCGACTGGAATAACCTGAAGAACAGAGACAATTACAAGTTTGTGAGAAAAATTTCAGACCTGGCAGTACCTTGGATCACATTAGCTTTGGCTATCGTTACCTTCTTAATCACGCATATGTTTCTCATTCTTAGACAAAAAATTACTTGGAACTCACTTTTCAATTTCCGGGGCACAGTGTACAAACTCGTGGTTCCAGAACTTAAACGCTGGATTTTTAATCAGTTCAATGAAGGTAATAAGAAGACCCCAAGGATGTGGCCTATTTACAATCAACCGTTCCAAGAGAACCCTGAAGGGGAAAAAAGATTAGGTAATGCATACAGAAACCTAAAAATTTATCTCCTTTACCTTTTTTCCTTGATTACTAAACTACATGCAAAAGTTACTAGCTTTACTAAGGACAGGTGGGTTAACACACACACCCCCCCCACACACACACCCACCCACCCACCCCCATGGTTAATGCAGGTGGTTTCTGGAATTAGAAAACCTGGGTTTGAATCCTGCCTCTTCCCGTTAGCCTAGCAGACTGAGCTAAGGGTAAAGGATGACAGTATGATTTAAAGTCTCGCCCACTTTTTAAAATGCGTGTATCTCTCTCTCACCAGAATCTACCCATTGCCCAATCTCCAATACTACATACACAGTGTAAGCAATCTGCAACATATCATTACATCAAAAAAGAAAAAGGAAAAAAAAAAAAAACCCACAAGTATCATCTTGTTATTTCTCCTTCAAACTTCTCAACCTAGAGGATAAAGAAAAGCCCAAGCTCTTTAACATGGCTTTTAATAGGCCTGTGTGGATTCAGGAATCTGAATAAAAAATGTCATCACCACCATCACCTGAGAGAAACTGTTGACTTTCAATCAAAATGCTGGTACCTTTTGTTAAAAAGTTGTAATTCTCTACTTGTCATTTTGTGTCCATCAGACTAATTGCTAGGGCAGGAACAATGTCCATTTTGCTCACAACTACATCCTATTTAACACATTGTAAAAGATGTCTTAAATGGACCTGTAGAAGATACTCAATGAACACTGAAAAAAAATCATAATAAAGAGGAAGAGGCACCACTTAGAATTATCTAAAAAACTTCTCCCTTACCTTGTAATCTGTTCTTGGATAGCTTCAGTGTTGGCTTCTGCAAAAAGGTACAGCATGGTACAGCTGAAGTAGTGAGTGTGGCTATTTGGGTACCGCAGCTGATTTGCAATGGCATTCAGGAAGAGATACCGACCTAGAAATTGAGAAAGCTCAGTTTATTGCAGACATGCTTCATGTGAAAGGCGAACGTAAAAAGACAAATCATTCTGAGAGGCTAGGGTATGGATTTCTGATAGAGACTCAGTATCCTTTAGTTTCAACCAGTGGTTCTTAGGTCTCCAGTGTTTCCATTTCGGGGAGGGGGGAGGTTTGTATTTTCCACATTAACTTTTTTTTTTAAGTATTTAAAAACAGACCCAATGCATATAAGCATTTTTCAGGAAAAAAAAAAGTTTTATCACTTTTAATTTCACGGATTTCTTTAATGTCACTTAATAGGAGGGAGCTGGATTCTTCTGCCCTGTGTTCAATGTGTTCCACTATTATGTTTCATGTAGCCCCTGGAAAACTCCACTGTATACTCACGACAACGCAAACACACACACACACACACACACTAGCCCCTGGAAAACTCCACTGTATACTCACGACAACATGAGTGCAAACACACACACACACACACACACTGTCATTACTGTGAAAGTAGTTTTGACCCACAGCTCTTCTAAAAAGGTCTTGGAGACATCCCCTGGGCTTCCAGTCCACACTCTGAGAACTGCTAGTTGAGACTATACTGGAATAAATACCTACAGTAACTGGATCTGGTTGTCTGCCTCTGCTTGATATTACTCATATTTGTAAGGCTACTCCCCCCCCCGCTTTTTTTTTTTGCTGGGCTCTGGACGTAATGGTATTCAGTCTTGTTAAATCTTGACTTTACACTGTCTCAAATCCCTTCTACACATAGACAAGTGTATGTATATCAAGATTAACTGTCCTCTCAAGAATTGTTAGCGAAGTTAAAAGGCATCATTTTTAAAGTTTATGTGTGTTAAAAGGGCACCTGGGTGGCTCAGATGGTTAGGCATAGTCCAACTCTTAATCTCAGGGTCATGAGTTCAAGCCCCCTGTTGGGCTCAAGCCTACTTTTTAAAAACTTTTTTTTTTTTTTTTTTTAAATAAAGTACTTGTGTGTTAAAATAAGCAAGACTATGTAGTTGGTTAGTACCTACTGGGGTCTAAGAATGAATATAGAAGACCAAAAGAAATGTGATTCAACCAGACAAGATGCAACCTATGGGAATAATTGGACAGTCACTTTCTGCAAAGCAGGTTAGGTAAAGTCCTATCCATTAATTTTTATATACCTAATATTTAACAAGTTGCCTGACAGACATAAATGCTGGGGGAAAGGAAGGCTAACAAAACAATGTAAGATAAGCTTATTTTTAAAGAGTGGCTAGTAAAAGGAACATGTTTATTTTCACACTAAAAAAAAAATATTGTAGGGGCGCCTGGGTGGCTCAGTCGTTAAGCATCTGCCTTCGGCTCAGGTCATGATCCCAGGGTCCTGGGATGGAGTCCCACATCGGGCTCCCTGCTCCGCGGGAAGCCTGCTTCTCCCTCTCCCACTCCCCCTGCTTGTGTTCCCTCTCTGTCTCTCTGTCAAATAAATAAATAAAATCTTTAAAATAAAAAAAAAAAAATACTGGGTGCCTGGGTGGCTCAGATGGTTAAGCGTCTGCCTTCAGCTCAGGTCATGATCCCAGGGTCCTGGGATCAAGTCCTACATCGGGCTCCCTGCTCAGTGCAGAGCCTGATTCTCCCTCTGCCATTTCCTCTGCTTGTGCTCTCTAGCTCTATCTCTGTAAAATAAATAAGATCTTCAAAAAAAAAAAAAATACTATAATCATATACACTGAAATATTAGTAATGTGGTAGGATTCTGGGTATTTCTTTCCATTTTTCCAGAAGTTTTGCATTAAGCAGATACTATACAATTAAAGATAAAACAGCCAGCAGAGAAAGACAAATAGCGTAGGATTTCACTCATACATGAAATTTAAGAAACAAAACAAGCAAAGGAAGAAAATGAGAGTCAAAGCAAGAAACAGACTTTAATTATAGGGAACAGTCTGACGGTTACCAGGGGTGGGGGTGGATTAAATAGGTGATGGATATTAAGAA